CACATCACTTGCAGAGATCCAAGGGGAGAGGAGGTAGCAACACAACTCCACCTAATGGAGGCTGACGGCGCCCCAGATTCAAACGTCCAAAAACACATCATTGAAACCACAAAATATCTCCATACTGCTCGTCCGTAGTGATCCAAGTGTCCTGAAGCCCCGACATAAAAAGTTGTTTGGAAAAACCTCATTTGAACTCTGTTTTTAGCCTCATTGTAGCCTGTAGCTCTGACTGCCTCTCTGGACACCGCGCTCACGTGTGTGCGCTTGCGTGAGATCGTGAGACATGGACACCGCCTTCATGTGTGTTCACGTGCTTTCACTGGTCTCGCGCACACATGCACACTAAATTTACAGGACCATTAGAGCTACTTTCCATGATTGCCCACTCCAGGCCACTCTGGTCCCCTGACTCCGAAGTCCAATATGTTAGCTTATGTATATTTGCTGCCCAGTAGTAGAAAATAATATTTGGAAGGCCAAATCCACCTTCCTCCTTACAACGTTGAAGAAAAATCCTTTTTATTCTAGGGGTGGTTTTATTCCACAGGAAGTGAATATGTTTATCTTACTCTTTGAAAAAGCTTTGGATATAAACACAGGAATAGTCTGAAGTAAGAATATAAATCTAGGCAAAACTGACATCTTTACAGAGTGTATTCTCCCCGCTAAGGATATTGGGAGGGCACACCAGCGCTGAAGGTCTAGTTTTGCTTTATCCAGAGCAGGTTTAAAGTTATGTTTAAAGTGGTCTCTGTATTTTCTAGTAACTGTAACTACAAGATAGGTGAAGTTATCACAGGTTACTCTGAATGGATCTGGCTCAAATGACATTAGCTTTGCCTGTTCGTTAATAGGGAAGAGCAGACTTTTATTAAAGTTTATCTTGTAGCCACATACTTCCACAAATCTTGAAATAATGCTCATTACATTTGGAATGGACACATGTGGGTCAGACAAATACAATACAAGGTCATCTGCATAAAGTGCCAGTTTGTGTACCCGCTCTCCTCTTGTAATACCATATGTTTAGCACTCCTTGTCATGACTGCCAAAGGCTCAATGGCAATATCAAGCAAGAGTGTGGAGAGAGGGCACCCCTGTCTAGTTCCCCTGTTCAAGCGTTAGTATGGGGATAGTACACGGTTGATGCGAATAGCTGCATGGGGTGATGCATATAGTACTCTTATCAATGAACAAAAGGAGGCGCCAAATCCAAACTTTTCTAACACTTTAAATTAAAACTCATATTCTGTCCTATCAAATGCTTTATGTGCATCTTAAGATATCAGGACTTCGGCCATAGTTGTTGCTTTTGGAGAGTAAATAATATTGTTCATATGCTGCAG